CAATAAGCTTATTTTATTACCAGATTATTTGTCTTTAATATGTGTATTCACAGTTGATTATAACCCTATTAAATCTTAAGATATTTACAAAAATGTCAAGGCGTAATTTATAAAAAAAATCCAATTGAAAATTGAAAAATAATTACTTTAAAAACACACCTACTTTATAAATAAGAAATTATTTTATTTTATTCGCAGATTATTTGTCTCTAATATATAGAGAATAATTGGTTATAAACCTACTAAATCTTAAGAAATTTAGAGAAATGGCAATGTGTTATTTTTGGAGAATTTCCATATAAAAAAATTTAAATATATTCATTTCATTCTCAGATTATTGTCTATTAAATCTTATAGATTATAGATTTAATATTTTAGAACGATTTACACTAAATCCAATTGTTTTCTTTGAAAATGCACAGTTTTCTTTTTATGGATGCACAGTTTTAGTAAGCGCTTTTGAGCTTTGAATGGTTGGATGAGTCCCCCATCCGCAATTCCTAGGACTAAATCCCTACCCTATATCAATTTGCATTCGCCACGCAAGCAAGCGTTCCCCCTAGTTAATCCTGCGGCAGACAAAAAAAAATCCTTAACTCTAATTTATAGCTTCAATTCTAGGGTAACTGCAATGGTAGAGCTTAAATATTTATCCTTGCATCAATAAATTTCATATCCTCTGCACTCTGTATTATCTACATTGTAAATAACGTGACTTACGTGGTTAATTCGTTACAAACGTTTCAGTGTAAGTCGAAAACCGCGTAAGTCGAAATATATAAAAATAATATAATATAAATCTGTGTACAGTTGCAGGAATGTTAAGTTGAGTTTTGATCCTTTCATGCAAACACGAAATGTATAAAATTCGCTCAACCGCGTATGGACTTATTGTGACTTGCATAGTACGGGTAAATGTACTATAGTGAATCCGCACTAATTGAAACCTCAGGTATGGCCAACTAAAGATAAAACCTTTAGCTTATATTTTGCAATCCAGTTGAGATATTGTGAAAACTTAAATCAGCTTTTGAAGCTTAATACTTAAGATATATATGAAGATATTTGGTATTTATTTGTGATTTCTTGTGTCTATGGAATTTGCTTGCAAAATTTAAGTTAAATAATCAAGGAATTACATGAATCCTTTGGTACAAACATGCAATTTTTGTGTAACTCACAAGTAAACATCAAGTATTGAAATTTGAATAAATGCATTGTGAAGATAAATCTTCTTGCAGATATAAATGTAATTGGATCGCGGACAGGTTTATTCGTTTCTATTAATATTGAATTGTATTTGCTATTATGATGATGATAATAATAATAAAGGTGAGACAATGCCGAACCCAGTGTTAGTGTTAATGCATGTTACTTAAAATCAATTACGTGGCGGATGATGAATGAGTGTAATAAATTAAATGTGCGCATGCAAAATCACAGCCGATGTTTACAAATGCGACTAATTGCATACGGACTATGCATGAGCTTTTCACTATAATGCGCATCAAAATTGCCGACGATTGGCAAATGGCGAACAATGAGATGAAGCTTGTAAATCATGCGATACACGATGTGGGCATTGTGTGCAAATTACAAATTCGATTATGTAAACTGACGAATCCATTCTTCCTTCCTCCTTGATATTGAATTTATGGAAGCAATTAATTATTTTCGTATGTTTTCGGACGATAAGACGCAGCCAAATGCAAGGATCTTCAACCTCAAGGAAAGATTATAATTAACAAAAGAAATTAATGACATTTCACTAAAATGATATAATATGTCAAAAATGACATGTTATCAAAGGTGATATGACATGTTAAAAATGACATTTACGATACATGATACATTCAATCAGCGTCAGATATATCCTTTTAGTTGTTTATAAGGACTTTCATTTTCTCCCCCAGATTTGTTTATAAAAGTTTATTTTAGGTTTAATTTGAAAGTAAAGATTATAATTAACAAAAAAAGATTATGACAATGACAAGATATGTCAAAAATGACATTTTATAGTAACAATTGATATATTGAATCAGCGTCAGATCAATGGATTTATCGAAGCAATTAATTAATTTAATATTTTTCGTTCAATAATTTATTTTCAGGTATTATTATTTTCTCCTCCACATTTGTTTATAAAAGACTATTTTAGGTTTATTTAATTTAAAATAAAAGGTAATAATTATCAAAAATGACATATGTAATAAAATAGATTACGTCAAATATGACATATTAAAAATGACATTTTATAGTAATAATTGACATATTCAATCAGCATCAGAAATATTAATTTTTGTTTAATTAAACTCTAAATACTAATGATGATCATTTATAAAGAAAATCTATTTTTTTTTAGGTATTTACAAAACTTTTAACATTTTCAATGATTTTCGTTATATTTTGAACCGTATTTCAACCGAAAATTCACAAAATTGACGTAGATGACAAACACAAAAGACAATTTTGATAAAACAATCATTTTCTTTACTTTATTGGACCAAAGATAGATTTTGATAAGGATGTTGCCAATAGTAAAAGTTGTGAAATGACCACCCTGATCTAAAAGTTTATTTACTTTTCAGTTCGTTCAAAACTCTACACAAATTATTTACTTGCCAAAGAAAACTGTCTTTTTCTATTAGCTTCGAGTCACACACAAACCTTGTCACAATGCTATTCAAATTATTCGATTCTTCCTTCGAGATTTATTCCCGCTTTTTACCACCTCGCTCGGTTTTTCTCTCTCACACTCACTCCATCTCTTTTCATCTATTTTATTTTTTGTTTCTTCGTCTGCTGTGGTCTCTCGGTGGAAATATCGGGACCATTGAAATGACCGCAGACCGCGTGAGTTATGCCCATACGGTCGATTTATTAAACAATTTGTCTTCGGGCTTGAATTAAGCCTTGTGGGTGTGTTCTCCTCCACAAAAGCCTCCACCGTAACCAACATAATAAACTCCACTATCACCATCGATTTTACACGCTTTAATCCTCAGAAATAACAATATTTGATTCACACTTTTCATTCTATTTTTATTCAATTTTTCCTTAAATAAATTACTGGGAATTTTGCATAATTTCTAAATCAATTATATTTTACTATTTTCGTTATTCAAATCATGTTAAATTTATGTTATAGTTTATTTATTGCTATAAAATAACACATGAAATACTTGTTGTAACAAATTAAAGTTCAAACTTTGTTCTTTGAACTACATGATTTAATAGTCTAAATATAAACATAAAATGTGTTACATCACGATTAAATTTAAGCGAATCGAACTTATCCCTTGGTTTAGGTTTATTTTTTATTAGTATTTAAAGTTGAAATGAAGATCAGTTTAAGAAAGCAAGATTATAATAATGAACATCAAGGTTTAAAAGGTAGATCACAATTAAAATCAGATTATTTGTCATTAATTAACTATCAATTAAAGTTAAATTCTACTCTTTTTGATTACTTGTTGTTGTTTCAATGTTTGTTATTTCATCGGTGGAGATGTGAACTTCAATGTTAATACCATAAAGCACTGATTACCATAACTGGACAGGTTTAAGCATTGTCAGAAGTAGCAGTGAAAACACCTCTAACAGAAATCCAATTAATTAACGGTATAAAATGTTTAATTGATTAACGCGTCGAAAGACAAATACTGTACGAGCATTTATTTATGTTATGTACAGGAATTAGATGGCTTTGAGAAAAACAAAACAAAAACAAGATGAAACAAAAACGAAAAAACAAGAGAGTAGAAACAACGTAGGCAGGACGAAATTTATGTTCGCTGCCCGTTGGTAATGATAAATGTCCTCTGGCATTAGTTTAATAGTCGCTTAATTTCGACTCTCCTTTTTCCATCCACTTCACTTTCCCGCATCTGCCTTCGAAAATTAATCGTTAATTAGATAATTTTATACGCCGTGCGTTATTGGTATTTACATAATCCTCGCATTACGCCACTAATAAGCGTTGAACAAACAACTGTAATTCCGATGCATCTGCATTTAATATTCGATAATTTCCATTGCTGTTTCTATACAAAAAAAACAAACAGGAAAAGTCATGGAGTTGTTCAAATTTATTTATCATTGATTTCAAGAATCTTCCATTATTTGTTTTAATTAAAGTCTTTAATGATTTTCATAACATTTTCAATAAAAGAAAATTTATAATTTTGATATATTTATCAAAAAGCAGTAAATTTTCAACGTTTTTAAATGATATTTAACCTGGAATTAATAAATTTGACAAGTTTGGAATTCGTGATGTGTCATTTTTAAAAAGAAAAATCCGTCATTTCAAAAATTTCATATCAAAAGTATAAACAAACAAGAAAAGTCGGAATTTCATTAGTTGTTCAATTTATCATTGATTTCCATCGCATTTTTAATTAAAGATTTTCATCGCATTTTCAACAAAATAAAAATTATAATTTTGACGTAATTGAAATTTACAAATTTCAATTTCATTTCATTAATATTTTCAATGGAAAATTTTGAAACTAGTAAAATATGATCGTAAAAAAATTATTTATTCTTTACAGATACCTAAAAATACGTGATCGATACTCAATTAGTAGAGAAACTTGTTAACATCCATCGAACAAAACGAATGCTGTTTTGTAGGCAACTTGAGTACATAAATATTGCTTTTAACAACTAGCTTATGGATATTTATTACTTAGTTTCTATAAGAGAAGAACAATATCCTCGTCCTTTCTATTGTAATTACAAACAATTTTTATTTAATAGATGTAATAAAACATCCCGTCTCATGGACACAACAACAATTGTTCAGATTTATATCATATTCAAGCATAATTCTGACAAAAAGTTTTGAAGAAAAAAAAGACAAAACTCAAGAATCAAATAATTAAGAATTCTAAATTAAATTTGCTATAATGACTATAGTAACTATTGTATACTAATAATCAATTGTTTCTGAAGTTCTTGTGTCTAGGCTCTTACTACGTTTTTTTTTGTTATTGCAGGTGACTTTATACGTGAGAAATATGACGGTGCAACGGAGGTGAGGGTTAACAAGAGGGGACGTCTTCAGCTTGGCGATCCAAGATACAGGGTGCCCACCGCAAACGATCTTGTGTACCTGGAGGACTCTCCCAATTACTGCGTCGCTGATCCAACCATAGGTTCTTTAGGAACGACGGGACGATCCTGCAACCGAACCTCGCAGGACATGGATGGCTGCAACCTGCTGTGCTGCGGTCGAGGCTACAACACTCTGAAGACGACGATACGAGAGAGGTGCAACTGCAAATTCAAATGGTGCTGCGAGGTGCAATGCAAGACGTGCATCAAGACCATCGACGTGCACACGTGCAAATAACTCCAGATCCAGATTCTTCGTCTTCTTTTCATTCCTTTGCTCACTCGTTTATACTCGTTCACTCGTTTCGCATACATTTCAAGCTTCATCTCAACATGTAAATCACAATATGTTTGAAACATTCCGATGCTCAATTATGTCTTAATTAAGACTTCTCCAAAATCATAACTTGCTGTTTTTTTTTTCATATAATTTTAAACATTGTATTCCTAATGGAGCTTCTGCAGCTCCCAAGATAGATTTAAAATAAGCTACTCCTCGTCTGTCCCGCAATGAACTTGAACTAGTTACTAAGTAACTGGGAAATATAGTATTATTTATTTATAATCGCACTGTAATTTAGTACAAAAAGGCGTTGTTTGTTTGTTCAGTGTGTAGGCTTAGATCTAAGAAAATTATTTATTACCTGTATATAACTATAAGTATTCTAGATTTTATATGTATTTTTTTTCAATTACAGAAAAATGAAAATCGTTTACATACGCTCATTCTATTATGAAAATCTTTTTAAAAACATTCCTGTGTAAGTTAAATCTAGATTTTATATGTATTTTTCAATAAAAAAAATATATTTCGAATATTTTTAGTTTGTTTTCTATCCCCCAGCTCATACCTACAAATTTTTGCAAGTTATAACTTTCATATTTTAATGAAACTACATTAGATTCAATTAATCCAAAAGATGCATATGAAAGTTGTATGTTAGAAGAATTTACATTGCTATGGTTTCATCCATAATTCGCGTTTAAATTTGTAAAAATGAAAAATTAACGCTTCAAAAAGCAGTCTTTTCACATTTTAGTATTTATTTCGAACATATAATAGATTGTATAGATTCAAAAGATGTATATTAAAGCTGGATGTTTAGTCAATTTAGACATAATGAATATTATTATATTGATAAATTATGAAGACGAAGCTTTTGCGAGACGGTTTTTTTTATTAGTTCAGTAAAGTACTATATGCAACTCAATATACACTTAGTTATATTTTTAATAATTTAAAAAAACAAATATAAGTCGAAGGATGAATTGATTGAGTATTGATGAGTGATTTAACTAATTGTTATAGTTTCTGAATTGTATGTATGTTGAGAATGATGAGTTAAAAAAATCTGACAGAAATCAGTTGATTATTTTGGTGTTGACACCATGACAGCTGCACACACGTATTAATCGCAGTGAGTAATGAGTGCTAATGTCTTTAACTCCTTGGTAAATACATCATTCGTTGATGTTTTTATCTTGTACGTTAATAACATTTCAGTGTTCCTCACCGACTGCGTAGAGCACAGGACTTCAAGCATTTATAACCTTTTTGAAAACCTACCAAATTACTTGCAGTTCGACGAGTTCCAGCTGACCCTACTAAAAGGCTTCTCCTTGACGCTGATCATCACCCTCTTCCTGATCTACGCCTCCTGGAGAGTGTTTGGTAAAAACATATGCGAGCGTTTCATGAAACCAGGCAAATATACAACACTGACAACTCAGAACATTCATTGTAATTGTCAATTTTGTAGCCACCTCCAAAACCATTGAGGAACTGAAAGCCAGCGTCTCAAGACTCAAGTTACCCAAGGAGCACTCTCCTAGGATCTAGAGATGAATGAGAAAATCAAAAAGTTCTTTGCCCGCAAGAAGTTGGATGCTAAATTTAAGTTGGCTGGGCCAGGGCATAAATTGACTGAATCTACTGCCTCATCTGCAACGTCCAATAACAAGAAACCAGCATACGTTCCACAAACCAGCAGGGAGCTGACAGATGCAACCAAACAAGCAGCAGAAGCTGCCTTGGCCAGGATGGGTGGGCCAAGGAAAGATTATGCATTTAACACCTCTCTAGCAGCGATTCAAGCTCAGGTCCGTAGAGAACTGGAAGCTGAAAGTAAAAATAAAGAACCACTTGAGGTATCTCCAAGGAGACCTGTGGAAACTGAGCTCATTGCATCTCCTCTGCTTGCTGTCAATGGGATTTACTATAAGTGTCCAATTATAAGTGAAGAAGTTTTATCCAAAGATGAGTGGAGGGTTAAAATCAAGGAGTTTCTGTTGGAGCAGTTGGAGGAGGAAAGGGGGATTACAGCTTGCCTCATGATCCATTCATGTAATTACAATAGAGCAAAGGTTGTTTAATTATTTAATTTAAATCAATGAAACGCTTATAAATTTATTTTCTCGTAGGTCACAGACTGTGTTAATGTTTTATGCAAGTACTTGGAGAACATAATTGGTAATCCTGAAGAGACGAAGTTCCACAAAATCAGATGCTCCAATGCGACTTTCTACGATAAAGTATTGCCGATTTTCGGGGCTCTGGATCTGCTCTTAGAAGCGGGTTTCTCCAAGCAAATTCTCGAGCATAATGGTAACGACGAAGAATTCTACGTTTTCGATGAGAAGAAAGCAGAAGCTGTTGAGAAATTGCTGGTAAATTATCTAAAAAGAAATCAGTTTGTACGTTACCAATGATTTGTATAGTTTTTAAGAGATTCGCTCAGATCGGAGGATAAAATCGAGCTCGAATTGGATAGAAACTTGCAAGTTTTGTCACCGGCTCAAGCTACGAAAAGGAATCAACTTCCATTGGAATTTTATGCGCTCACCCCGGAGGAAATCAAAAGGGAACAGCAGCAAAAGTAATTACTTATAATTATAGTTTAATATATAAATATATTAATTTTTAACATTTGAAGAGCGGATGTAGCAGAAAAACAGATGGTATTGCGTACTAAAGCAATGAGAGAGAAGGAGGAATTGCGTGAGATTAGGAAGTACAAGTTTTCCCTTGTTCGGATACGATTCCCAGATGGTCTCTACCTGCAAGTATGATCATATTTTGTTAAAAAAAAAACATGATTGTGCAATTATATGGTTTATGATTTAGGGTACCTTTTCGGTATACGAGAAGCTTATAGATGTTATAAACTTCGTGACCGAAAACTTGGAGGATGCAAACAGCTTCTTGTTGTTAGGACCGACTGGACACAAATTCGAAGAGGATGATTACAATAGCACCTTGTTCGATCTGCGTTTAGTGCCTGCAACGATTCTGAATTTCCAATGGAACTGCGAAACTTCTTCGGGCGGCTTCCTGAAGCCCGAAGTGATGATCCTCGTTCAGTCAATGTAGGTTGTTTGTTCAAACACACAATTTAAATATCGCTTATTTTATTAGTTCTATATCTATATGGAAGTACGATTACGTTTATAGCTTAATTTACACACGTTTTACACTTTTAGTGATACTTGTTATTTTTTTTTCGGAATAATTGTTAATTTTATGGATGTTTATTATTCTATTATATGCATCGTTCACTGCTAACAAATTATTTATTTACATGTAACATATACCCCAACCATAACATAACGCTTTTAAATCAATATTCCTAAATTAGATTTCAATCCTCAAAATATATCAGTTTCAAGAGCGTTTTTTTTTAAATTTATAATTGCAATACAAATATATACTTACTACTTTTGAAGACTGAAATTAAAATAAACAACTAAATTATACATATGTATATAATGCATATTTATTTTATACAAGTTTCGTATTTGCTAAATTTACAAAAAATCAGTCATATATAAAGATTGCAGTTGTTGTATGTTATCATTTACTTATTTTGTTTTATATTTCATATAGTGTCGCAAATGAATATCTGCAGCTTCTGAAGCATAACGAACCCACGTGAGTACCCTGAGAAAATAATCGTATGATTGCTGTGCTAATGAGAATAAAAAAATTGTATATATATAAAACAACGAAAAAAGGTATATCGTTCGGAAATGTTTCAATATCTGTAAAAAGTAATAATATTATGAACTTATATAATATTATTTAAAAAATAATAAAATAAAACTAGAGGAAAAATTATTAGGATATTCTTTCTCACCAAGTGATCTATTGCTCTAAAAAAAAAACGAATCTGTTGTGGGCACACGAAAAACTTGCTAACTAAAATTCACTGTTAACGTAAAACCAACAAACAGTTTTGTCACAATTTTTGTTCTGAATTTATAAAATGATTCAATGTTTTTATTATGTACAGTGATTGATTTATTTTCATTTTTGTTTTTTCTTTTTGCCGAAATGAACACAACTTTATTATTTCACTAGCCTGAAAATGTTAATCACACAATGAATTCACAGAACGTTCTCACTGATTTAAAAGAATGCCAAATTTCGGAATAATCACAACACTTTTGGGGAATCGTGTACAGGCGCAAAACAGCACGAAATCATTATTAAATCTAACGAAATACTGGTAGATTTAATAAAAATTTTCACTTTTACAGGAAAACAAAAAAAAAACAGAAAAATTAATGAATCTTTTCAAGAATAACATGGACACCAATTTTCTTACACTTGCTCACATAATTAAATTTTCTTAAGCAATTGCTTATAACTACTTCACAATATACACACTACTAAACACATTTAGTAGTTCTCTTTTTCTCTGGATTTTTGCGCATTTGTTTTTATAGATAAGATGTAAACATATCATTTTGGATACAGTTCTTTGCCATTTACTAAAACACCACTGTCAGTATATATGTATCTAATGAGTTGAATATCATTAATGAATGATAAAGAACTGTTAACACACGATTACAACGCACTTGTTATGCACATTATAAAGGGTATTTTTAATGGGGCACAGATTAATTCACATTTTTTTGCATATTAAATATAGTGAATACCTAATACGTAAACAACATCATCACTAATCAAAACAACTGTTCACAGATACTTTTTTTTGCTAAACCATTGTTGATCACTAACCTCCTGAAATGAAAAAATACTCATATAAATATAATCTTAAAAACTAACTTAGCTGCACCGTCATGTAAAGGTTTGGAAAATAAAAATCATCATAATAAAAATAAAGAAATATAAAGTAGGGTCAATAGATTTTACGCTGTGCCGCCACGCACCACGACGATCACAAGATGATCTTCCTTCAAGGCGTCGTCGGGGAGGTTGTGGCACATCCTTTTCAAAAGTTCCGTGGAAAAGGGGCAGGGCGGAAAGGAGTAGAGGACTCCCGTTGCTTCTGTCTCTTTATTCAATAATGAAATCACCCCGGCCGCCTCCTTCTGCTTCAAATAAGATACCAGATTCCTTAAAGGACGAGTCTGCACGTTGGCATCATCGATAGCAACCGAAGCTGTAGATCCTGCTAAACCCAAGAAGATAGCATGAGAGCTAGCGCTGGAAATGCGTTTCTGCACGTCTTCCAGCTTCGGCTGATCTAGCCTCAGTCTCTGAGTAATTCGCAACTGATGCTTGCCATCTTCGTCTTTCATCAATCCCTCCACGATATCGGTATCACCGTCGATCAGATGGAATTTGGCCGGGAATAGAGAGTTCTTCAAAATCAGCGCACCCTGCCACGTTGTCGAGCATTTCCTGGCGACCTCTGGTAGCGTTCTGCTGGAAGCCAAAAGCCCGGCGCGACGAGAGCCACTATCCGAATCGGAATCTATGGATCTGCGAGGAGACCTCGACCTGGATCTATCGGCGGCAGGTCTGGTGATAGATCTGCGACGCGGATATTCGCCATCACCGCCCCTGTTTCTGTTACTCCATTCGTCTTCATCGGGGAACCTGAAAGGCCCTCTGCTAGTGGCACGTCTCTCCGGATATTGTGGTCTCGTTCTATTATACCTGCCGCTAGTATATCCAGTAGAAGCCGCCTCCCCTTCAAATCCTGGCTCGAAATCTTCGGGCGGCCTTCTGTAATCGGAACTTCCTCCTTCTTCGTTCGGCGGATATGGAGGTTTCGGTCTGAACGCAGTACCAGGAGTGACGTCTGAAAAATCAGTACGTAGCCTATGATCCGTTCCACCTAAAGGAACACCTCGCATCTCCTTAACCGCCGCTTGCGCTGCATCGATGCTGTCGTACAAAATGTATGCCTGGATATCGCCTTTCGTATAGTCAATCTTCTTTATAGCACCGAATCTATCAAATTCCCTCTCCAGCTGTGTAATGGACGTCCACTGACCCAGACCACCTACCCAAATGCGAGTCGTAGGCGTCGCCTTACCATAGCCTATCTTACACTGAAATTTACCAATGTACTGACCGGATAAGTCCACTTTTGCTCGGTGCGCCATGTCGAGCGTCTGAAAACGAACGAAAGCAAAAGCATTGCCCGTCCCTGGAGGCGGCCTCTTTATATCGATATCCTCCACTGAGCCGAAACGTCCAAATATTCGGCGCAGCTCTTCCTCGGTTATGTTTATTTCCAAATTACCCGCAAATAATGTTCTGGTGGCAAGAGGATCGTCTTCCGGTTGCACGTGATGCAGATAATTGGGAAATTTATCTTTCTTGTTTTCGCCCTTCTCGAAAGGTACTCGCGGAGCAGAGTGTCTGGGTGCGGCTCCATACCCTGCACCCATATGGGGAGGTCCGTGATGCATCGGCGGTCGTGCCATATATTCGTGATGGGGAGCAGGCATAGCCTCTCTTCTAAACTCCCTGTGAACAGGAACCCCAGGTGGTGGCCCATAGCAACGATCGTATCTGTCCACAGTTCTCAGACGCTCTGGAGATCTGCCATAGTAGTGCCTCTCATACTCTGGGCTGATGGACCTGGGTCTTCCTCTGTAGATTTCAGGAGCAGGTCTAGCCACCTCGTAAACGGCTTCGACGAGAGCGACTTTATCGTAGACAATGATGCGAGGTTTACCATGTTTGGCATCCCTGGCGTCCTCCGGATTTCTAAAGCACACATAGGCAACCCTCTCATCCATATCATGAGATACCTTAATGCTCATGTCACCATACTTCTTGTACTCCCTGTACAACGTATCCTTGATAACTTCATCACTGGCTTTAGGGTGCAGGGCACTCACACACAGAACCTTGTAGGGGAAGGTCCTTTCTGGGGGACGCATGTACTCGTCTCGGTGGGGTGACATGTAGCGCGCTCTTGGAGGACTTGGTGATCTAGCTCTGCTGGTGCGACGGCGGATCCTATCTGGTGTAATCCGCTCATCTGAACTATCCTCGTAACGACCTAAGCTGGTGCGCGACCTCTTGTTGCGAGCCGGCGGGGTCTCTCTGTCAGTACTCCTCTTCATGTTTTGGATGCGAATGGTGATTCTATCCTTTCCAGAGCCGATCATACGCACTGTGCCCGTCAATAACACCACGACACAGCAGAATCAACGACCTATCACATCCCAGGCGAAGATAAGTGGAAATAAAACAGAAAACACTTATAGTTAGTCTCAGGTCAAACTAATACACACTATATAGTTAAATGGAATCATGATAATATACCGTCAATATAATTAATGTAATTTTTTCAACAGAATCGACATCGCGTTCACTGACCAATAGATTTAATTGATATTATGATATAATGCACAACATCCCAAACATCACACACGCCCATAGGTAATAAAAGACATAAAAGAACATAAAACGGCAAAATGGCGGAAACCATAACTGAAGAGAATTCAAGATATCCATAACGGTATTACGCGTAACTACACAGTAAAATTGAAAATAATTATATATAACTAACTAGCAAACTAATTCAATTCTCAGCGCAAACCGACGATCACACACCACAATATAATAGAAAACTGCAATCAACTTATAAAAACGTTAACCAACCCTCACCTTTAGCTATATGCACGAACAACAATGGCCACTGCAAAACATTCACCACCCAAAAATATAATCACCAACAGTGATACCAACATGAAGAAAACTAAACTACAGATGATTCTATAATCTTAGCTTAAATTACACAACCACCAATTATTGTTTGTTTATTAAAAACTTTGCTTTGAATATCAAGAAAAATTGCAATAAACTTGTAAAAAAATTCAAATTGATAATTGCAGACAACTTCGTTTAAGTACAAATACATAACCTGAAAATTAATTAAAAAAATGTCTTCATTAAAAAGGGTCCAGGTATAATAAACTAGATGAATATAAGTACCAAAGTTAATTCCTTTTGCATTTAGCAATGGGCCACCTTCGCGAGAATCTGGCACATATACGATGCTTCCTGGCAGAACCCTTTCCAGTCTGCAGGACTCTTGAAGAAATATCTCATGGGCACATACAAACCAATTTACCATCCGTTAAGTAAGGATATTTAATTGTGAAATAAACTCAGGTTTGATTGTCCCAATTTTTAGATGATTGTGGTGATCATGTAGTGGTTATAAACAGTGGTGATATAGCCTTACCAGGTGATGAATGGAAGAAAAGAGTATATTTCCATCATACAGGGTACCCTCGAGGTGCCAGCTGGACTTTAGCTTGGCAGTTGCACAAGAAGGATCCAACTTTGGTAATAATTACATTCCCATAAGAGAAAAGGAAGAAATTCTTAATTGAAATGTTTAATTTAAGGTTCTTAAAAAGGCTGTGTACAATAGCATGGATGGCAATTTGCAAAGGAGATACACAATGGAAAGACTGCACATCTATCCAGATGCAAATGTACCTGCTGATATTATGAAGAACATCTCCAATCAACTAGCAACTCCAAGGGAGGTGCCAAAGAGACTAGATCATTACAGTGAGAAGGAAGTTGAAGAATTTCCCAAGATTATGGATTATCCTAAAAATTACATCCTGAGATAACCATATTCTTAAATCAATGCTTAGTTTGTTTTATATTATAGTAAAAAAAGTAATTCTGTGAATTTTGCAAATATTTATTTAAATGGTTAAAATGCATTTGGTTGTATTTATAAAATAATCAAAAAAATATTTATTCCTTTAAGCGCAAATCGTGAGCAATTGTGTACGCTGAGACGTGCATCATGTTCTTTCTGTTGTCTTGGAAATTCTGGATGGCTTTGGCGCGCATCTCCTCCCAATTGTAGAAATCTCTGTAGAGCGGCCTGCAGTATTTCATCCTGCCAACTTCGTTTACCCAATTCAGTGCAGGATCGACGATTTTTTCCCATTTGGCTTTGATGCCAATCCTCAGCCACCTAAATTTGATTTCGGCGTTCTGCACTTCAGTGAATTTAAACTTTTCCTCGAGCACCTCCAGTTTCTTAATAGGTTGAGGCTCGGATTCAAAGATATCTTGCAGCAGCTGGATTTTCTGGATGGACGTGATCTCGTCGCCGGAGAATGGAACTGGACCAGACTTTTCATCCCAGTTCAACCAGCGTTGCTTCATCTCGTCGATGGTCTTCAGAAGAGTCTTGTCGTAGTCGGGAATGACTGGAGGCATACCTGGTGTGTGCAACCATTTGTTCCATTCGATGTTCTTTATCTCCGGAGTGCTGCTGAAGTACTCGATGAAGAAAGCCTTGAACTCGTCCGTAGTCAACGACCTGTATTTGTACGTGTCGAAGTACTTGCGAAGGAATGGCTCAAATACAGCTAAAAATTGGTTTAATGTGGATTATTAGTTGAGTTTACGATGGAGAAGGGAGATCTACCTGGTCCTTCAACAATCGTCTCTAAATATCTCAAAAAAGTTTGCCCTTTCTCATATGGTACAGTCGAGAAAGCATCGTCGGGATGCACTCCCGTCAGATTTACTACCAGACAAGTCAAAGGATTGCTATCACCCAATTCATTAATCTGGAATTCCGTTCAATAAACAATAGTTACAACATTCAATACAGCTCATTTTAGTTAGTACAAATGAAACAAATGAAGGGCGTGTTAGCAGCAATGAGAAAGAGCAAACTTGATCAAAATTATTGAATTTATTACCTGGACCTCCGACGGTATTTTCTAGATACCTAAGGAACGTTTGCCCTTTCTCATAAGGCACCCTCGAGAACGCGTCATCTGGATGAACTCCGGTCAAGTTAACAACCAAATTCGTCAAGGGATTGTTACTTCCCATAACTTTGATCTAAAATGAATTGATGAGGGATGATCGCTAGGAGTAAAAATACACAATATTTACCGCTTCCTTCAGTTCCACGGTGCCACCGTAAGCGTCGAAGTCCTGCACTTGCGGGCTTTCCAAGCGACCCAAAATCTTTCTCTCGATGAAAACGGTGAAACCTTCATTCAGCCAGAAATGTTCGAAATTTGCATTCGTTACCAAATTACCGGTCCAACTGTGAGCAATTTCGTGAGCAACAACGTTTGCCAAAGACCTATCTCCAGCCTAATAACAACAAACAAAAATGTAACAACAAGGATACGGTATGAATATTTGCTTACCAATAATGTAGGAGTTACGAATGTCAGGCAAGGATTCTCCATACCTCCGAAGGGAAAACTTGGGGGAAGTACGAGAAGATCGTAGATGCCCCAGACGTATGGCCCGCAAATGTCTTCGGCAGTTTTCAGCTGCTTCTCGGTATTTGCAAATTCGTTTGCTGCCATCTCGATGAATTCCTTTTCGGCCCATACCGTGGAACGAGGTCCGATCTTTCTAGATTCCAGAGCACCGATCGCTATAGCAATCAGATATGATTGTATAGGAACGTCTTGCTTGAAATGGTGCAAGTTGTAGCCGATCATAGGCTTCGTGGCATCTCGGATTGCTGACATCACAACCGACAAATCCGTAGGTGCATTAATCTGAAACCACCAAACGTAATTGTAAATATTTTCTTTGTCTTTGCTAAATTCACATACTAATATACTTACAAGAGCTTCATATTTGGTTTTCACATAAGGAGTGTCTTGGCATGGAAGGAAACTCCTGGCATGAATAGCTTGGAATTGGCTGAAGACATATGGATGTTTCTTTCCAGCAGTCTGCTCAGGCTCAAGCCACTGAAGACCAGAAGCATGAGGTCTAGTCTTGTAGTTGATGGTAAAAATGTAGCTGTAATTAAATATAATTAATATATTGCTTATACAATAGATGGTATATGTAACTTGTTAACTTCCTTGGGTGGTATTTCTATGGCCAACTCTGATCCAAACTCACCCACAGGCTGGGACAGTGTGTACTTGCACTTGGTGTTAGTTTCAGTCTCATAAATGGACTCAATATCCAAGTCTTTGACATCGAGTACCTAAAATGAAATGTAAATAAGATCATTTTCATTGAATTTACTTTAAATTAAGTCACTTACCACTTCGTTAACATTTTCGTGCAGCTTTTTAACTGTTAAATCGCAGTTTCCGCTGAATATCTTCTGGTCAAAGTGAACCTTCAGAGAAAGCTTGATGTTGGTGACCACAGCCAAATCTGCAAAACAAAAGATAACCTCAAACTTTGTTTTGACTATTCGTAAATACTATATTTTTTTTATTATTGTTTGTTTGATTTTTTACCTGGCCTGGAAAAGGAGCTCGGATCTATTGGACTGAATCTCGCCATTCTCGTTCCTCCGTCACCTGCTTGGAAATAGAGAACACTCAATTAGTTTACAAAAGTACTTGACATCAACATAAAGTTACAAATCCCCCCACCAAATTGGGTTTATCTAATCTGTGCTCAGGCAGGTAAACAGGTAAACGATGCAATCTGATATAAACAGGTTGAGAGATTTGAATTGAGATTACCTAATATTAATAAGAAGCAGTTCGAGAGGATCAAAATGCGCCACATATTGATAAAAGGCTCTTAAATTTTTATTATTATTTAGCGATATGGTTTAGCGATAATAGAAATACTCACCGAAATTGCGTACAAAGTTTCTCCTGATTACGCAATTCGATACATTTCTCGCCACATCGAATAACTTTAATATTCTCATAACAAATTGATTTCAAATTACTCCAATGACTTTCAAATTATCATTTTTTTTGTAATAGTTATATAATTTATAAAGTCTTAAGTCTTTTGTAAACAAATGTATTAAAATATTACTTTAATCACTGAAAAATAAATAAATAAAATCATTTATTTATTATCAGTACAAATAAATAAATTAAAAAAATTATCAAAAAAATTGTTAATAAAATTATTGATTTAGTGAATTTAAAAATGTAATTTCTATATTTATAAAGATAATAATTGAATAGTAAATAACTTTATACAAGATTTCTGTAATTATTATGTAATGATTATAGTTAAAATATAAAGTAGGTGTGGTTGTGGATATTGATGCTTTTATAGGCAACTCAATTAACTTTATTGATTTCAAAAGAAAAACCAGCAATACTGAATATAAATTGGTATTAATCGTTTTAAACTGCGTCTTGGATACTGTTAAACAACAAATTACTAGTTTTTAGTAATAAATAGTGTATTAGAAATTATTTTGCTTCAGTTAAAGGTGTTTGTTTTGACTGTGTCTCCTTAATTGTCAATGGACAATAGTTTCATTACCAATAACTGCCCCTCTTTTTTCATTACCACTTTTCATGCATATCTTAAAGGCATTGAGGTTACAACAATTGTAAATTAAATTAACAGTTATGTGAATCAATTAGTGTAAAAATCATAAACAGTTTGCTGCTTAATGTGGAAATGTAATAAGTAGGAACACAGATTCGATTTTGAAGATGTCTTGCACTGAGGTGAATCCGGGGGCCTCTGTTGAGAGTGTTCTGGTGACAACAGATTCGTGCGAGAATTTTGAGCAAATGAGCTCTAGTTTGGAGGAGATCAAAAATTATGTGGGAAAGTCTCCAGAGGTATCAGACAGCAGCACAAGCGTAGATAATTTGGAAGAAAGCAATTCTTTGAATGCAGTTGGATCAGATGATGATTATATCAGGAGTAAGGATTGGCTGGAGAAGAAGAAACATATATTTGTTCTAAGCTCTGCTGGTAAACCAATATACTCAAGGTAAAATATTTATGATTTATAATTCAGTGGTTTAATGTCTTGTTTGTTTAGGTATGGTATTGAGGATAAACTGGTGACTATGTTTGGGGTTATGCAGGCTTTAGTTAGTTTTGTGCAGGATCAAAACGATACAATTAATTGTATACATGCGGGCAGCACCAAATATGTATTCTTGAATAAGAATCATCTGATATTGGTGGCGATTTCTAAGACGGAGGAGAGCGTGCCGCAATTGGTGTCTCAGTTAAAGTGAGTTTTTTTTCTTTAAATGAATTCGTATTTTATTTTATTGAATTTTACGTTTTCAGTTATGTCTTCAATCAAATAGCCAGTATACTTACTTTAACGAGATTGAATAAAATTTACGAGCAACGGAGGAATTATGATTTGAGGAGGCTTCTCTCGGGTGTCGAGAGGATCATCGATCACCTGTTGAACTTTTACGAAATCGAACCTGCTTTGACTTTGGGGGCTGTGCAGTGCCTATCTTTGCCACCTTCGATCAGAGATACCATAAGCTCGGCTATTACTCAAGCTTGCAGTAAAATTAAGGCGAGTTTAACTCACTCAATGTTTTTACCTCAATTGATAATAATATTTTTGTTAATATTGTAGAATTTGGTTTTTGCCATTTTGTTGGCTAATAATAAGCTGATAACACTTGTGCGTATGAAGAAATACGCAATTCATCCTGCAGATCTTCACCTGATCTTCAATCTGGTGCAAGCGTCGGAGAGCTTCAAAACGGTAGAGAGCTGGACTCCGTTGTGTCTACCCCGATTTGATGCCAGTGGATTCCTTTATGGACACGTATCATATCTAGCAGAAGATTGTCAGGCGTGTCTTCTGCTGTTAACCGTCGAGAGGGATGTATTCTTCACGCTTAGCGAAGCCAAACATAAGATCGTGGAGAAGATGCGCAGAGCTAACTGCTTAGAGGCCATCAACGAATCTTTGAATTCGACGGATGGTACTTGTCTGAACGCAGGCTTCCCCGAGCTGAGGCATTACATCTACAAGTCCAAATCTACCGCCCAATTCCATCAACCTGAAATATCAGCCCCATATATCAACAACACGGAACGACTACTTATGTTGTACAAGAGAGCCCACAGACGTTTGCACAGCGTTGGAAGACCATTAAAACTGCTTTTCGAAAGGTCCCCGCAGGAGGCCGTCCTCGCCTGGGATACTCGAGGTTTTGAGCTGTACGTGATCTTGGAACCTCTGATCGAAACTTCGGCTGCGATCGCAAGCGTCGGTAAGCTCTTGAATTGGATCAAGAAGAGGGAAGATAAACTATTCCACCTGAACGCTCCTACCTTCTAGTTGCAATTCTTACAAAAAAAGTAGAGAACATGTAAGTTGTCCTAACGTTCTAGATGTCTCTGAAACAATCACACACTATCGCGCCCTTCTTAGATTATACTAATTATTGAAATAAGTCACTTATGATGGATGGCATTTCGGTTCTGTTGAAAATTTTAGAATTCCAGTATTATAAAATACTGCCCCAAAAATATATATTTTACTTCTTTTTTTTAAATTGTATATAATCATATGATAATTATATTTTTCTAACGGTTTCACGGAACCCGGCGATGTTCTGTTGGTGTTACTGCTGTGATACATTTTTTGTAAATACGTGTACATCTTTCGATTGTGTTAAACGAGGAGGAAATTAAAGAACGAGTTTTCAGTTTTCGGCCTGTATACAATTTATTAACCTCATATATAAATACTATCTATAGTTCTTCCTGTCGTCGTCCCGCTTTCTCTCGTCCCTTCGATCCCTCCTCTCGCGATCATCATCCCTACGACTGTCGCGTTTCCTGTCATCCCGTTTCCTATCCTCGTCCCGTCTCCTATCCTTATCCCTGCGATCACGTTTCTCATCTCTCTTGTGTTTGTCGTTCCTATCCCTCGACCGGTTACGTTCTCTGGATCTGCTGCGTTCCCTCTTCCGTTCCCTATGTCTCTCTTTCTCCTCCTTCACCACCGGCTCCTCAATCTTATACTTTTCTTCCTCCAACTCGATCTCCTCATCCAGATCATCTTCAAGCGCCGATGTTTTTGCATCCAACTCATTGGTTTCCTCCAGAACATGTCGCTTTTGCAGACGCGGTAATATAACATCACACACCTACAATAAAAAAAATACTATAATCAAAAACACCATAAATAAAGTTAATAATAAAATGTACCCTCTCCTCCCTAAGCAGCTCATCAATATACTCGTCCATGTGCACAATTTCAAATTGAGCCTGTCGATTCTGCCTCCTCAACTTCCTGTTGTCATTATACAAAGGCTCCAAATATTTGTAACAGTCCAGTGAAGAACCAGTCAATCTCATGTAGAATGCACCCAATGCTCTGACATATTTGAATTCCTCATTCTTTATAAACTCCACCACAATATCTTTCTCCGGTTGGATTTGAAGCATCTTCAAGGTGAGGCACAGGAATGGAGTGGGTTTTATGTTACCGCTGTGTACTCCACCTACAAATCTTAATTCCATGGCTTTGTCCACAAGAAGTTCTGCGGTCAAGGCAAAACACTCTTCCTTCCAATACTTTGAATCGTATATTCTCGTTCTGATAATTTTCTCCACCAAATACTGCGGATTCGTTCCGTGGATGGACTTTGCGTCCTTCACGGTTCTATTTGCCATTTTTTACTTACAAACTATTGAAATTCACCAACACAAACATCAGCAACAAACTATCCGTACTTAACCTCAATCTCGAATAACAAAACCGCAGAAAAGTTATTTGAACTATTAGTTCAAATCAAGTTAACTGATAACTCAAGTTCATTCTTGTCATCAAGAGGTGGTGCTAGTAGAAAATAATTTGAATTCAAAAATTATCAATAATAATTATAATGCAAAAGGTAGTAATAAATATTTTGTTAAATTCATGATTATACATTTATTAAATAAATAAAATATTTGAACTTTTATCTTAAATACAAATTCCATAGCATAGTAAAATAAAACGCAATGAATGTTTTATACTTTTTTGATGTTATTCGAAGAATTTGACCGAAAGCACAAATATCACGGTATAACGCAATAAATTCCAGGCAAAAAAAATACCAAAGCATTCCATTTAATAAAATATCGATTTTGTAAACCTATATTCGTACAAACTATGGCTCCCTCAATTACAGAATGATGTAAAGTGATATTATTAACATCAAAACAAATAGATTTTTAATAGATACTGTTTCTCACATAAATATGATATTGAACATCAGTACAAAATATGTTTTATGTTTAGGTATGTCCTTGCTCTGAAAGAAAACTAAGTTAATGCTGAATGCCTAGTGGGGCATTATTATAATTTTCTAGAAATTGTAGGGGTAGGAGGAATTAACATATAATTTGGTAGCTCAAGGGATGAATTTTTATAGTCCATACCAACCGATGTTAATTCAGTTGACGAAGTTGTCTGATTCAGTTGTCTAAAAAAATGTTGGGTCTAGAAATGTAGGACTTTTTGGTTTCTCAAAGAGTTGAATATTGTTTAATAGACTTGATTTATTAACTAATTTCATATTTATTCTTAATTTCTTCACTAATTATTTATCTTATAACATTATAACAAAAAGTGTAAATATACTTGTGATATATACTTACCTTAAAGCAGTGGTTTCCAAACTTGATGTTACTACGCCTCCCTAAAAGTTTTTATTTCATAAAAGGAACGCGTATTACAGTAATATCGATAAGAGCACAGGAATGTATCTATACTTGCTGAATTCCCCAAACATTCAGCTTTCATATGCATATATTGGATTCAGTCTACCTATTATAATTTTCGAGTAAATATGGATAAGAGCACAGGAATGAAAAAATACTTTAGCAGTTTTTTTGGAAAATTGCTCTTTGCTACTAATATTCGCGCCTCCCCTTAGACTAGTCCACGACTCCCCAGGGAGGCGCGCCTCACAGTTTGGAAAACGCTGCCTTAAAGATTATCACGTAATCGAAAAATTTAGGTATTTTATGTGATTGATTGTGTTGAAAATTAATTTAATTTGAATGAAATATGAAACGTTATTAAGAATTAAATTCATAAAATTAATATGAAACATAGGGAGATTAATATAAATTTGACTATTGGATAAATTACGTTTGTATGAAGTTAGTTTTAGTTAGTAATTGGGAAAGTGATAGTCGATGTGATTAAATAATTGTAACGTTTTATTGGCAGTTCGGTGGATACTCGTGATGCGGATGAATGGAATGGAAGAAATGAAAGATATTTATTTAAAAGCGATTTGTCATTTAACACACAAATTAGACTACCTGTACAAATAAGGTATTCATATACATACGTTGGTAACAATATGAATTTTACACTTTGCCAGTAAGTACCTACTCTTATTGCAAATTGGAAATATAGGAGAATCAGGATACAGCAAGAAGATTGAACACACCATCTTTTGGGTGATTGAGTGTTTAAGTGAGTGATTCAGTGTGTGAGTGTTCGTGTGTGTATATATATAATAGGTGAATTAGAGTTTATGTGTATCGATTTTATGTTTACCTTTTCGTTCTAAACTTAAATGATATGAGTGGGACAAGGTACTTGTGCTAAGAGGACTGCTCGATCCTGACTCTCGGCCACCTCAACTCCTTGATCACCTGTTCATTATAGGTGTGACTTTTTTTTGTTCTTCTTCTTCTTCTTCAATTCTGGTGATAGGAAAAACGAGGAATCAATTAAAGTACCGAAAAGAAAAGCGTAATTCCTTAAATCTCCAGAAATAGACTTAGTCTATCTACAAATATATATATATATATGTATATGTATGTATGTACCCCTAAACACAAATCCTTATAGACACCCGTACGGAACCGGGCTATACACACAATTAACTAGTATCTTGGTAAATTTTTAGGTTTAGCTCGAAGTATTCAGCCTTATGTTTAATCCTCTGAAAAATCACACATAGTTTATAATAGGGTCCATCGTATTTCGGTGTTTTCTTCTTCAGTTCGTTTTATTCATAGATCGCACTCTCCGACGTTGCGACTTGCAGCCTCGTGACCAACTAATTGCAGACGGTAATCCGTGTTGAGGACAAGGTCGGCAACGCATCCTCTGATGCCTTCTCCGTATCTTCCGCCTGTGCTGAGTCCTACGTCCGGAATGCCGCCTACGAAGAGACCTTCCTGAGCGGCTCGAGGTTGCGGCACGTCCACGGATTGTCTCGTCAATGTCGGCCCGTTGTCCACCTCCAGTACTCCGGATCCGCCGTTTCTGGAATACACGCACACACACACAGAATACAGAATATGGAATTGCAGCGTCTGCAAACTTTATACTACTCAACCGCTACTGTAGTTTCAAAAGTCAATTCCCGCAACTTTGTGAAACTACTTTTTTCGCTCCGCACTGCCTAACTCGTAGAGCCTTCATCGACTCTATTCTTATTTTCATTTCATATCACGTTCATCTCATACATTGCACGTATACAATTGGGATTCATCATATATACTTATTAGTTTATATTATGTAATCTATATACAACAACCTTCATAATTTAGAAAACTACCTCCAGTCAATAATTTTAGAATATTTACATTAATTACCAAAATTCAGTTTAATCGAACTTTATTTCTAAGTCTTATTTTGGGTTGAAAAATGAAACCCACGCATCAAGGGTTAGAATGGATTGAAAATAGTTACGAAAAAAAATATAATATTATCGTTTTATCTTCTTATAAATCATTTTGTTACTAATAAAAATCAAATAAATATATGTATAGATCGAATATTTTAAATATTATGCAATATTTAATATCCTCTGCACAACGATAAAGTTTCTGTAATAAAGAATTAAAAAAAAAACAACGAATTTTTCGATTTGAAATTGTGCAAATGCTTTCGAACGAATCGTTTGGATTTTCGATGCAGTGATTAATCGATGGGTGGGTCATATGCAATATTCAGCTGAACGGAAGAGGAATGCAATAGACGTCGACGAATCTCTATTTTTCTTTCACGGATTTATGTGGGTCATGCAGGAAAAATATCCGGAAAAAAATCGCGGAAAACCGACGATATCAACTTGCACCCCTTTCCAACATTCCCAACATTTCAACTACACAACAAATGCGAAGTGCATTTCTGTGATTGCATAATAATATATTTATATACGCTTTTTGTAATGAACTTCTAAGCTTCGATGTTTTTTGTAATGGATAATTAAATTATGAATGGAAAAAGTTAAGTTTTCAACTCGTGCGAACGGAAAAGTATGGTGGTTGCGCAGGGTTATTAACATATATAATTCGCTCGGTGCGTATCTTTGTGTCAACGAATTCAGCGATTCTCTCTGTTCCGTACGCTTTTGATGCTGTTCAGGGCATTCGCGGTGTCCGGTTTTCCGGAAATAATGGAATGGTTGCACAATGAATGAATGGATAATGCGTTGCTTCGCCGATGCAGCATACTTTGTAGCGATACGTCGATGGTCGACGCTTTGTTGCAACTATTTACTTGTTACTTCAACGAACAATTTCATACCTGAACATTCACAAATTCAGATTGGAAACGCTTCTAATTGAGTAAATACGATTCGATTGAACTACATGCATATTTCGTATATACTGAAATTTATCTTATAGTGTTATATTAACAATATTGAAATTTGCTAAAATTTGATTTTGCGAATGTAAATAGCGATAATTACCTAACGGCTCTGACGCGATGCCAGAGGTTGTCGTGGACGGTGGAACTATTGTGGACGACGACGATTTCTTCGGCTCGGACGGTGTAACGCAGTACTAGAGCTCCTCTTTCCAAACCCAAAGACAGGAAGTCACCGGAACCGGAGTCCATCCAAAGCAGAAGACCATCGGAGCTCGAAACCTTGAAGCGAACGTTGATGTCCAGAGGATCAGAAACGAGTGTTGTGAGGGTGGATGGATCGTTGAAGTGGAGGTAGCTGTCCACACCACCGAAAGATGGAGGTCCACGGCTGCACAGTTGATCTCTGTATCCAGGTCTACACTTGCAGGTGAAGTAATCCAACTCTGGGATGCATTCGCCATCATCTCCACAAGGTCTAGCCACGCACGGATGAGGACAGTTATCCACATTCGCTCCACCCAACGCTTCAGCAAGGATAGGCACCTGCCTTCCATTCATAACCACCTGAAAATACATTTAACATACAAAATTAATAATAAGCAATGTTTATTACGTGATTTGAATACCTTTTGTATGCAACCGACGAAGGCGGATCGAGCTCGAACTTTGGGTGAAACAGCTGAGAAATTTGGAACTCCACCTAGGTAGAGGTTCTGCGGAAGCGAGAGTTGCGTGAAAGCACCAGGTGACATCACCTCGACGGGCAGTTGATTATCGACTTCGAGGATGGCCAATCTGCCGGTCCTCGAAACGCGTATCTGGTGCCATTCTCCTAAGCTGATTCGGTGTTGGCTTCTCGCAAGTCCTGCGCCCGTTCCGAGGTCATAGGCGAACTCCACAAAACCTTCGACTAGGTAGACGGCCATGAAGTCGCCGTAGCCGTCCGCCCGGTGACCGTCGTACAGAAGAAGACCATCAGCCGCAGTCGGTTTCAGAGTGATCTCCAGGTCCAGCCATGTAAGCGCGTCTTCACCTAAACCCTTGTATCGGAGGTGGCTGGAACCGTTGAAGGATGGCACCTGCAGATCCACGCGGATCTCGCACAGATCTCCAGAGAATCCCAATGGACAGAGACAAACCGCTGATTCCTCACTCGTCAGGCATTTGCCACCGTGCTGGCATGGGACACGGCTGCAACGATCCGCTGTGCATTCCTCTGCAAATAACAAAACAACATCTTTGTAGTTTTATAAGATCTAATATAATAATATGATCTACTCTGATATTATTATTCTGTTGGAATTTGCATAAACTGAATATATTTACTTTTACAAATATATTGAGTATGAAGAACGATATTAAAGTTAAATAATTCGGAAATAAAAAGCTATTATCATCTAATCCAGAGTTTACAAATTTCAAGTAATAAAATGTTAACCATTCGACAAAAAAAACACCTTTTGATTTATGTAAATATCTTGAGAACCAGAATGACTATATTGGAATTTATGTGTAATTGTAATTTGCTTTTAAATAATATGTAATGAAATAATTTGATAATTAATGAGGTCATAAAAAATAGATTTGCACGTATTGCAATCAATTGGACAACAAAATAAATATTTTATTGTACTGAAAGATCAGAAGAGGTTAATTAATAAAACATAACAAAAAACTGCATTTGGGAATTGCAATTTTATTCAAATTGGAATATTGATTTAATTTTTATTTTTCATTCGCTTTCGCATTTATCACGCAATATCGCATGTTTCCGCTTTATTCGAAAATATTATTATTATTTTTTTATATTACACAATGGAAATAATTGATAATAAAATTCTGTGACACAAATAAATCTTTTTTTTTATTTGTCGATAAAGATTTATACGTATTGTATAATTTCATATTTTTTCATAAAACATAATAATGCATAAAAGAGTTCACATCAATTCAATAAACTTTTTATTTATAATTTAAATACAATGTAGAGTAAATACGAATATTAAAATTTAGTAATTTCGAAAATATTTTAATGTGATAAAAACATTTATCAACAAATTCTGATAAATTTTAATTAGGTGAAAAAAAATCTCTCATTATTCTAGAAAAGTTCAGTTTTTTGAAAAGCAGGCTTTTAATTTAGTTTAGTTTCAGTTGTGTAAACTTAATAAGTAAAATTTCGTTATATAATCAAAATAATATTAATCAAGTTTTGCAGAAAGTTTGAGAAGCGAAACGTTTCCTTGCGAAGTCTTAGTTGGTAACACTGTTGCGCCCCATTTACTTTAGACTAAAACGTATTATAATGCTGTCCATTAAACTAGGTGGCGCTGATTGAATAACTTCATTCATGTACAAACATGTTGGTAACAATCCCAAGTTTGCAAAGCCTTTATTCATGCCGTACCGAATGCACATTGTGAATAATTTGCGCAAAGGGCGAAGCGAAAATATATATTGATTAAAACGGTTCCACCGAAATAAGAAACTCTCCCTACAGAATCCGGACGAAAACTGAGCGCCAACGACATCTTCCCATTGTATTCCGAGTGAATGTATGTAGTGGATGTAGCTTTAATGGGTCGACCCTCAGACAACGCCTTTGTATTCCAGTCATTACGCAAAACTTTACCATCCGAAAGACCCAAAATCCATATTTTTTATCATCCCTTTGTCCATCGTTATAAAACACACGCATCGAGCTACCAAAAAAATAAACCCTTCAAAGCCTTCCGCGGGATGTCGTTCGAAACTAAGCAGGATGCGCTCATAAAACTAATTTAAAGTATTTCCATTTAAAAGTTTTATTAACAGGAAGCTTTTAGTTATTAAATTTCCTGTCGTGATGCATATATCTAGATTGTCCCTTAGTCATCATCTCCATAGCATCGCAACGTAACGGTTATAGTTCATTTTTTTTGTTTTGTTTTATTGGTTGCTATGGTAAATAATTACAAATATTGTCTATGCAAATTGAACAAATCACAAGAAATTTCAGTTTTACGAGGAGACAAATTTCATTCTTAAAATTCAATTCATTTTCTTATCAATTAATAAATTGAATTTTGTGATAAAATCACAAAAATGTATAGAATTTACATGTAATATGTAGATTGAGAAATATCAAAGTTTAATCTGCGAAATTCATTTTAGACTTTAATTAAGTGGAAGTTTCCTGAATGCAATTTGATTTTTCCGTGTCGATCGTTGGTGAAAATTTAAATTGAATTTGGATCGGAAAATTACATTTCCCCATTTATTGCGATTTACAGTGTAAAAGTATACAAAAAAATAAATACAGAATGAATTACCGATGGAAAAACCAATTCAATGTCTTATTAAAGAAAATCTTGCCGTTCGATTTTCCAAATGAAAATCTCGCTGCACATTGAAAGCATTGTTACTAATATCTTGATACCATCTGCAAATATTGATCCTCGTAAGCAGATGTCCTTTGTTGCGGAAAAGCAAAGTTGATTTAGGTCGTGCAAAGAATAGAATGTCGGAAGGATGACAATATCCTTCGCAAATGCTCCTCGGACTTACATATATATGTAGGATATAAGAAGGACGATGCGAAGGAAAGCAAAGAGTTTCATTAAAAGAGACCTGCAATAAAATCCGTCTGCCCGATGTCTTCGCCAGGGCTTAATTTCTTCTGCGAAATTACGCATATGATTTATTGCACGTCCCACAATTCCAGACGAAACTTCGCCGAAGAGAAATGAAATCGTTACCATTCTTCTCCCCAAACGTATTAAATATTTAAATTAAAAACTGTATTGGATTTTTTTCCCCATTAGATTCATATATTTGTCCATGTTTCTATACTGGAATTTATATTAAAACTTATGCCAATTCAGCGAGACGATTTAACAAAGCAATTAACTTTTAATTATTATGTTTTTCTCAGGATTCAAGTCGTGTACTAAAAAATAGTTTTTCCTCAAAATGTACTTATAATAAATACGTTCAGACTTTCTTGAAATTTATTCATATACAAATCAATTTTAAAAGTAAATTTCTTACCGAGAAATCTCGAATTTATACTTGTTATATAAAATTATATCCAAAAAAATAGTTTCTTGTAAATACTACTTATATTTGAATAATTGTACAATTTTCAATTGAAAATAATAATTTATTAAAGTCTTTGTTAACGTCATGTTATATAAAGAAAGTGAAGTTGCATAATTACCATTCAAATTGACTTTTGCTAATTCACTTCTTTCTAGGACAATTTTGTTCCGCGAATTGATTAGCACCGCAAACGTGAATTCAATTTGAAAAGACGACGTTTTTCCACTGTTTTCCTTTCTTTATTTTTTTCTTCATCTTTATATTCCGCTGTTGTCTCCGCGAAACACGGAGACCGAGAAATGCAAATTGCTAGAGGAAACCTCTATTACGCCATTCTTTGAGGGAGCGCGGAGGGTCGAGATGAACGACTCAAAGGGCGACGCGAATAACGAAACCGTTGATATGTTGCGTCGTATAATATTCGCTGACTTGCATAAATGCTCCAAACCAATTCCGGTGCATGTTTTACGTCGAATTTTCCGTCTTTGCTTTTCACCCTTTTTACATTAATCTTGTGTTTCGCGTTTTAAATTTTAAAATTGTTAAAATATTAATATCCTTTTAGAAACCTTTCGATTATTAATTGTTCGTGATTATTAACCTCTTTGTCAACGAGCGGCGGATATATCCGCCCTATCCCTTATATTTGCTTATGCAAAATAATAGCAATTGTGGTGGCATAGTTATCGAATCTTTCTCCTAAGCGAGGCGAGGGAATTTGGTAAATTTGCAAACTTTTTTTTTTACAAATAATTTGCTTATATAACGAAAATAATTCATTTAAAATTTGTTAAAATGTAATAGCTGAGGTTCCGGCAGATGGCGCGTTTCTGTATTTACCTATTCCGTATCCTTTGGAAGCTTCTCCATGTGGATCAAGGGCGAACTTGTAAAGGTGATCGTTCACCTCAAGATGGCGGATGCAGCCCTTCAGTCCTCCTGATACCGGTAACTTTTCGGAGAGGCCTGTGGTATTCCCTGCTCCTCCGATGAAGAGTGGTTCTCGGAACGTAATCCTAGAGAAGAGACCTTTGGATCGGCCCTGCACGTGCTTCCCTCCATTCAATTGGACCCACGCATCCCATCTGTGTCTGTACAGGGTGATGTGGTTCCATTGGTTCAGTAGAACCGTTTCCTCCGACCTCACCACTCCCACACCCGAACCGCAATCAAATCTGCAAAAAAAACATATATTAACAACAAAGATTCAGGGACTTTGGCAATTGTGGACAATTTTTTTTGAGTTTGTCATAATTTGGTTCAAACTGGAATGTATTGATTCTGCGAAGTGAAGTTATTTAGAATTGAACTATTGTTTTAAAATCTAGGCATGTCGCATTTGGTAACTATGGCAACGGAGAACTATACATCATCAATACATAATTAATATACAGATTATCACGTAATAATTTCACGTAATATTTCGTTATTTGTTCACGATACAAATAAAAAGGAAATGCGCCGGGTGTAGACTATTTTTTTTTCAATCAATTTAATTTAGTTTATTATATTAATTATTACTAATTGCAATAAGTTTTTATAAGTTAAACTATTGATATAAACAGAAGAAAAATAAAAGAGTTTTGTTGAATTCAGTATTTATATATGTTCGCATTCTTGTAAACAACTGAAACTAAATCAAAATCTATAATTTAATTTCGGCTTCTGTTTGCTTGATGTAATACATTAGGTGATATTCTCTTATGTTGGCGACATCCATAAAACATACGTTTCCATTATCTCCAAGTAAACTATCTCTTCGTTACATAATTCATATTATAATAAAATTTGTTGCTGTTGGCCTCTGTCACGCCATCTGTTGTCGAATAATATAAGCTGCTTTGACAAAAACTAAATCGTATTGGGAAAAAAAATGTAGTATAAAATGTAAAAGAAACTACAAATCAATCATTGTAAAGCAAGTATGGAAGGACCAAAGTTTTTGTACGAGCGGAAAGATTGATGCGTTTTTCTGAAATTGATTAACTTTGTCTGTGCTCTCTTTTTTTTTTCATTCAAGTCAATTAGGTTTCAAGGATGAAATCAGGATGCAACCAATGAAAAAGAATTAGACTATCTCAATTAATTACTTCAATTAAGCGCATTTTCATATCTCGCGAAGAAATTAGCTTTTCCTGAAGCCGTCAAGAGTTTTTCATTTACTTCAAAACGTTCCATCTTCTCTTTTTTTATCAGTTTCAGTTTCAGCAGATGCTCTTACAGTTTAACAACGGTTTTAATGAATTCATATTAGGAGGAGTCCTGTTTTTTTTCTATCCTTCGAAATTAAAGGGGGTTTTGTATTTATGCAGGTGGTAGCTAAATTGTTTTGCTGGGAAAGTTTTAATGATGTTTGATTGGGGTGGATACGGAAGAACAAACCGAATTGTTGGAGACCTCAATGGGTCTGGAATATTTCATTAAAGTTGATCAGAATTGCACGATTAATCATTGATCGATCCATGTTCCCAGTTAAACGCTTCCAACAACTTCTTGTATATGGAATTGAAATATTCCATTCCAATATATGCCTTTTATTGCAAATTTGGGAACGCAGTTGGAATACGGTTTCGCATATCAAATTGAGCGTTAAGCTATCGAATTAACTGGTAATGTGAACGTGTCAATAACGTGCTCGTCGGAAGTAAACGCATTATACCGTGATGAAATTAGAAGGAAGCAAATTTGCTTGTTAATTTAGTTGAATCAGATATTTACACAATTAGTGAAAACTTAATTTGAAATTTACAATTAGGTTATTTTAACCTATAAGTACTATGGATGGGTCAGATTGACCCTCCCAATATTTACTCTTATTTAAATTCTATTGTAATTTAATTGTAGGAGTTGACCTTTTAGTTATTCCAGTATTTTTTAGTGCACTTTTCAATAGGAACAAAGCATTCTCGATGAGAGGGAATTATTTTAATGTAGAGTTTATTTGGGATCAAAGTGATCCGTTTGGTATACACGCGTTCTTGAAATAACATCAATATTTGGATTTCAAAGTTGAATAACTTTGGTTTCCCAAGAAGAAAATCAGTAATTCTGATATCCAATAATAAAACTGATATCATACATTTACAAGGAAACGAAAGCAAATGTGAATTCATTTGATAAAAAAATGCGCCAATGGCTTTATTTCATTGTATATTAAATATCGCTAGTGTCGACAGGAAAGTTATATATGAATCCTCACAATTGGGTCATCTTGACCCATAGGTAGTACTTGTGTTTTATTTATTTGATTGTAGTAGTTACGGGTTAGGTTCATTTAGAAATAGTCATTTTATAGGTTAGGTTACGGTAAGTTAAGATTTTTGGTTATATAATGATAGGTTAATACAACCTAACCTATCTTTATCTAATGAGAATTATTAAGAAATGTTACGTCAAATGAAGTTATATGGATTATCATAAAAAAAAGTCAAATGTAATTTATAATATAATACGTTTTTCATTAATTGAAGTATTAGAAGATATTTGAGTGTAAATAAACCTAATTAAAGTAGAATAGATGTGATTATTAAAAAAAACTAACAATTATATTTTATGGATTTGGTGGATGCGCCTGGTTTTATAGTTAGTAATGCTAAATATATAATTAGATTTGTTATGGATTAAATTAATTAATTTTAGCAATATACATAATTAGGAATATATGAATTTCTGCACGAAATAATAGTGTAATTAAAGCTTATGGTATTATATTATATATTATGACGTGTCATTTGAATGCAAGTGAGTTGCATAACTAATCTAGTTGAATGACATTTAATTAATGTACATGTCAATTGATAATTAACTGTAACTATTTGAGCGACATCTGTCGTCTAAATATAATAATTGAATTACGTACCGTTTCCTTTCAATATGAATTCAGTCCTCAAGAGGTTCATTTCTTGCGTATTTTTCAGTTCAAATTGCTTCAAGTATATATATATATATATCCATCAATTCTTCTTTTCTGGTCTGGCTTTGATCCGATATATCTTTCGGCACGAAGTCAGTGGTTTTGTACGTTTTGCCATTTGAGCTATACGACTTTTATCGGTGGGTTCAATGCAGTTCACTCCACGCTAGACAAGTCGATTTATGTATGGGTCAGATGCATAAGAGCTCGATGAAAACAGATTTGTCAGATTACAGATCTCTAATATATTTTTACATTTTTTACTTCTCCTTCATCTTTCCAGACGTAAGCTTTTCTTACAATTTCGACATTTGTCCATGACTCAAGTAATTGAATTAATGACGCAAGGGGGTGGATGTATTTACAAGTGTCTGTATCTTAGCAACTTAACTAACAACAAAATATGTATTCTAATTCAACTAATTGTCATGGGCCCCAAAAAGATTTCTGAACTCTCAAATCGCACTACGCGTCTTTTGTGAACTCTACAGAACTCAAAGTTATAACGGCTCCATCTGACAAAGAAAAGCAGCAGTTTGTTTAGAACTAAGATTCGATGACTTGTATACACATAAGCATAGTCTCCTGTATAAAGTATAGGTCGGATATATCCGCCGGTAGATCGAAAACAAAGTCGTAATTCAAAGGAATACATCTTTTTTATAATCACCAAAACATTATGTACGACACAGGGCGAAAATGGAACGGCTATCGGGTGTACTTTGCATATTTGACGTTATACGTCAAATCACCTTATAAACTGTCAAAGTTGTCAAAAGAAAGTTAATAGGTTATGTATTCTGTAGCACGAATGCGACAAGCTCGAATGTTAGATTATTTAGGTCGTTTGCGGTTTAAGAAAATGTGAAATGTGAAAGTCTTGAGGTAATTCCGGAGAGTCGAGCGTCGGTGGTGGTAAATATTGAATGCAGCTGCACGTATTTAAATCCTGTTTAGAGGGCGGTAAGTCCAAAGTTAATGGAAACGAATGGCGGAGCGTGCAGGGCCGCATCCATTCGGAATCAGGGCCGAAATTAAATAATAAAATTTAATTTCGTAGCTGTATTTGAGCATAATTACAATACGCCTTGCAGTTTAGGGAATTCGTCTATTTCACTTATCCTTAACATAACAATTGTTAATTACTGATGGATCGGCCAGTGAGCAGAGCTGTATTCCACCTGCTCAGGTGTGTTCGATCAATATTATTGTCTGCGAATGAGGTATCAACGCGTGAAGCAGCTCTCAGAGGAAACTGCTCGCCTCTATTTTTTTGTTATTAGAACATGGTTAATGTTGTAATCCGGCGGGATGCGAGGATCACAATAAAAGGCCTTTGCAAATTGCAAACTTTTAATCGCCAGAAATCTTTATTTATTGGCTTTTCGTTCGGTTTAATTAAAAACCTTGTTTAAACATTCGCGCCAATATTCTCGTAATACCCAGCAGTAAACTTTAAATGAAGATTTTTCGATCAATAAAGATTAAAAATAAGTTTTAAATGAAAAATTATTACGGATTATTAATAATATAATTATAATAATAATTACTTTTATTAAATTGAAATGAAAAAAAGTTTATTAATTTAACCGTAATTTAAGTATTTTACCTATCCAATAGATTATTTTTTATTTAACTTAAATTAACCTAACTTTAAATAAAATATCCTAACCTATAAATCGTTTTTCGGTTGTCACCTACATTTAAAAATTAGGAATACAAAAGTGTATCTAACGTAACTTCAATTATAATTTCTGACGAAAAACTGAAATTTAATTAATTAGACATTATACATTGTCCATAATGTAAGTCTAGAATTCTCTTTAAAATGATATAACCTAACCTATCTTAATATAATCATAACAGTTAAAAAAATGTGATTTCATTCTGATTTAATTTTGGAACTTCAGTGCAATGGACCTCAAAAATATGTCTAGGAAGGACCTACGATACTCTTAATGAGGCCCACCAACATTTGACATTCGTAATCAATTTATTTAATACATTTAGAAAAATCAATAAATTGAATTCATTTTCTTATAGATATAATATTAAAAAACACATTGATACAATAAGAAATGTAATAAATATATTCTAATTGGTTAAAACGTGACAACACTATATTTGAATAGTCTAATATTATTGTTCAAAAGCTTATTTGACAGCTTATAAATGAAATACCTTTAAATATGAAATAAATCTCAGTTGGCTAATCTTCTATCCATATTTGAAGACTTAAAATCGATAAATTGTTATATCTTT